CCTGAAACAGTAACTCATACAAATACAAATTAAACAATTTCATATTTCTTTAACAATTTTACTTTGATCATTTTTTAAGGAAATAATTGATCCAGTACTTTTATAATAATTTTCCAGATTATTCCATAGTCTTATACCTTTTACTGAAATACATCTGTCCTTCAGATTTGTTTGGATTTTTTGCTTTAACAAACATGTAATCCCTTCAAATTATAGCAGCTTTCCCTTATAGCAAAATGTGATTGGATGTTTGAAGGTAACACATTTTTATGAGCTTTATACATAACCTGCAGAATGTTATAATCAACCAACTCGTAAAATTTTAATAATTTTAATTGATGAAACAATATGTCAGAAGGGTGATAGTAATGCTTTCTTGTGATAATTCTTATGGCTCTTTTTTTTGTAAAATGAAAATGGTTTTACATGTGTTTCCCCTGACTTCTATACAATAAATTATATGTGGAACAATAATTGCATTATATAGTATAAATAGTGCTTTATCATTAAATAACTCCTTAACTTTATACAATACTGCAATAGATTTTGCCATTTTTATTCTTAAATAATTTATATGAGGTCTCTGTGTCAGTTTTTTTTCAATGATGACACCCAAAAACTTCACCTCATTGACTCTACAAATTTCAACACTGACACTGAGTTTTTAGCTAATGTTTTGTTATTTAGTTTAACTTTTGCTTTCTAGCTAGCATTTTGCTAGATATAGCTTCTAGCTAGCTTTTTATACTTTTAGCTTTTAATTGATATTTTGCTGTATTTAGCTCGTGTTCTGTTTCTGCATGATAAAAAGGGACATTTCAGGAAAAAAGTCATGAACTTTGAGCTACGAGGGGTTTAATTTACAAACCATGACTCAAAGATCACCCATTCAAGTTAGTTACCTCATTTTAATTTAGTTTTTAGTTTTTTATTACAATCTATTTTTACTTTTGTGTTTTTATTTTGTAAGGTGTCATTGGGTGTCTTGAAAGGTGCTTACAAATAAAATTCATTATTATTAATTAAAAAAAACTACAGGAAGTTAGAAATGCAAGTGAGGTTAAAAATAAAAAAAACATTAAATGTCCTAATGGGAAAGTTTTGTTTTCCCATCGTTGTCAGAATGAAGGACATTCGGATCCAGACGTTCAGCGTTCACTTTGGCTTTAAGAACCGGTTCCTGGCCAGCGACATGGTGCACGCCGCCTCCGCCTTGCTGGAGAGCGCAGAGAAGGAGGAGAGCAACACCACGGACAACTTCATCAAGGCTCTGGACTCTCTGTCGCGGTGCGTCAGKGAGCCGTGTTGGATGAAACGTTGGGCTGTGAGTTATAGAAACCCCTCCTCCTCGAGTCAAACGTTTTGTTTTTCTCTGCAGGAGCAACCTGGAGCGTCTCCATTCAGGGATCGACCTGGCTAAGAGGAAGCTCCTTGCTATCCAGCAGACTGTCGCCAGCTGCCTCTGCACCAACCTCATCCTGTCGCAGGGACCSTTCCTCTACTGTTACCTCCTGGAGGTAAAGAGTCTGAGTGTTAGCCTGCCTCTGTTCAGCAGCTCAGATAAATCTTCTGCTGCTCCTTCWTTTGTAGGGAACACCTGATGTGAAGCTCTTCTCCAAGCCCCTGGCCCTAACTCTACTCTGCAAATACCTGCTGAGGGCTTTTGTCCACTCTGTAAGAATCTGCCAAAGCTGGTTCGGAGCATAAAAACTGTGAAATCCCGAACGCTGGCTCATATTAAAGCTTTTGTCCTTATTTAGACGAGGAATAAACGCTGCAAGCTGCTCCCTCTCATCATGGCCGCCCCCAAAGACGTGGAGAAGGGAACCGTCATCGTCGTCGGAATCCCGCCGGAGTCGGAGACTTCCGACAAGAAGAAGTAAGTTCTCGCTTGGAGCAGGAGCTCATAAGGCGTCACTGTTTTTCAGCTCATTTGTCAGTTTGATTATTTTCTGTTTTTCTTTGTTCCTGAAGTTTCTTTGGCCGAGCGTTTGAGAAAGCTGCAGAGAGCACCAGCTCCAGGACTCTTCACGATCACTTCGACACGTCGAGTGAGTGACGTTCTCTTATTGCCGCTCCACACGTCCGTCTCCTCTGTGGGCACCGGGTGGCAGCATCGTCTTGGTCCGGTCTCTAACCTCCCAGCAGGCGTCATGGATGGAAGCCTCCTCCTTTTGTCAGCAAACCGTTGACGTTTGCTTGTTTCTGTTTGCAGTAATCGAGCTGAAGACGGAGGACAGAAGCAAGTTTCTGGACGCGCTCATCACTCTCCTGTCCTGAAAACCTGAGCAGCTGAACACCATGTGTCAGATTTACAGTGCTCAAACATYGAAGCATTTTAAATTGGTTTTGTGTTTATATTGTACAGTTTTACTTTTAAATGTTTGCAGCTTTTTCTGTTTTAAAATCCACATCTTTTACTCATTTCTGTTTGTTCATAGTTCACATCAATTTACATTTTATACACGTGTAATAAATCTTTTAAGTTACTTAATCTAGTGTTTGAGTTTATTTGTACTGCTCGTGCTTGTAATGGTCTGATTCAAGTCAGAACATTTATGTTCTACTGATTCAATTTTATACTTTAATTCAGCAGGACCTGAGAAAGTTGGAAGATTAATTATAAAAGATAAGCAAAATCTGATTATTTTGTCAAAAAGCCCTGTCTATTTTCAGTATCTCAGATAAAATATGTAATCTGTTTRTTATTAATTAATGTGATGATTCAGTTGTATAAAGCTGAGCTTGTTTTGAACTGTTTTAATTAAAAACCAAAACATGACAGAAGGCAAATAAGACAATTTATGTAGCTGTTTGAAAGCAACAGCACCCCAAATTTTTAATGTAAATGTGAAAAATAAAGCGTTTATCTTTCCTGCGTTTTGATTAAAAACATGTTTTCACTTTCAACAATTAGACAAATGTGTGCAGCTCAATTTTAATTGGATTTTTTCGTTACTATTGTGGGGGAAAAAGTTTTAATCAGTCAATCAACTTTATTTGTACCCGCAGGTAAATTTGATTACAGTAAAAATGAGTCTGCTTCGTTCCAACAAAAACACAAGACATAGGACATGGACATACAGTGAACACAACATGATTAAAAAGTGCTCATAAAACTCTACTATATAAGAATCAGAGAAAAACAAGATCAAATCAAAAATAACTATAAAACAAAGAATAAAAAGACTGATTGATATTACGTTAACTTGAGTTTTAAAAAAGATGCTTTAGAAAAGATTAACTCATTAACACATTGTTTTCTAAAAGCACTAYTCATAATGTAACACTAAACAGTTTTTTTTCTCATTTCACAAGTAAAAAGKTCTATTTTCCTCTAATTTAGACATTTTAAGCTGATTTGAATAAATTGAGTTTTGTCGCCTCTGGTGTCCAGATCGAGGAACTACATCTCATTTACATTGTTATAGCAGGACAACACTTCCTGTGAGGACTTTAAAAATAAAAGCAACTATGCAAAAAGTTGTTTTATAGAAAATAAATGTAAAATTCTTTCTATAACTGCTTCTGAAAAAGGCTTTGAGCCTTAATGAACTGCACATCTGCTCAGCCTGCACATGTGGGGCAAAGGTTAATGTTGTGAGTTTAGACGACAGATTGTAGATCAGATCTCTGCTGGTGAGTTTCTGCTGCCCRGCTGCAAACAAGAGGCCGGAGCTGCTCTCTGTGGGGCCGTTTAGACCCTCTTCGATTGGGGTGTGAGATCAGAATCTTTGGGTCGTTTGGAGACAGTCTTCGGGGCAGCAGCAGAACTGAAGCTTGCCATGATGGGCTTTACAACAAGGAATGTCAACGTCAACAACCTAATTGTCTGAAGGGTAAGTACGCCATGATTACTAAATTCATTGTTTACATTCATGATGGCATTGTTTACACATGATGTTATCCAGCAGAAGCACTCTGATACGCCAGAGGAAGGCCTGGAGTCTATTTTTATAATCATGGTTATTGTCTTGGAGAAGCTAGGAGAAAATGCTGCCATGAGTGTGTTTGTTTGCATGTAGTGTTAGCAAAATATCTCCTGACTTGTGAAACTCAGAAATGAAACACTGCATGTACGACTCGTTAACTTTTGCAGATTTTTCTTTTCTTTTATGCCAACATGAGACCCTTAAAGGACTTTGGATGAATAAATGGATAATATTTTTATTTCTTTAATGAAATATTTTTGCAGAAATGTCTGAGTTTTAAGATTTATTTATTGTTCAGTGGCCATAAAGGATCAAAAGAAGCTGTGACGCAAAAACTTGACGAGTGGACTTGAAAGGACAAGAACTGCTTTTTTTTAGTTCAACTTTTTTCAAAGTTACAGACAGAAATGTTCAGATAATCAATGTCTGGTTTTCTTCTGATGAAAGAATTCCTCTAAAAACAATGTTTTGTCACACTCCCCGCGCACGTTTTCCTGCTCAGTGACCAGAGACATTCAGCCTGTTGGTGTTCCGGTGTGACATCCACCTGTTTGGCCTCCTCCTCTCGGCCGTCAGTCACTCTCCCCTCCACCCTCCGACCCCTACGGCTCTGCTGAAGTGAGGCCGCTGCCCTTTACGCCTCCCTTCATCCCAGGAATGCAACAAACCCAACACACACACTGAGGAAACATCTCCTGAAGGGGGATCAGTGTGTAGATGTGTGAAGCAGCTTCACTCAAACAATCGTGTTGTCTCAACAGACCTGAGCTGCTCTGGAAAACAGTCCTGATGTGGAGGATAAGGAGCTGAGTTTGTCTTATAAAACTTCTGTGATGCTCTGCTTTAGGAAAAAACACATACAATCCCACACATCAAACTGTTTAATGTTTAATTTATTCCAATTTTTTTGAAATTTAGTCTAAAATGTTCGTACACTGGACAAAAAAAAGGACATATTTTGTCTCAGATTGTTGACATATCTGTACTAGAATATCTTAATTTATCATCTGACATGTACTTAAATTTAGAAAAGTTGACATCAGTAAACATTCTGCCTTTTTAAATTAACATCCCTGGTCTTTTTAATGACGTTATGATCTGTTTTATGTATTTTCTTAATAAATTTTAAATTGTTTTATTTGTTTTTAATGTTGCTAAAGTCCCATGCAAATTAGACTATGGGCTACAMATGYTTACTTGACACTTATCCCTATATAAATTAGCAATAAATTAATTATTATTAAGGGGATAGAAATGTTTGTGAAGCCTTGGTTTCATACTAGTTTGAAGAAAAGATGCACATTGATCCAGGCAATAAGATTGTGGAATGGTCTGGAGGATGTTAAACAGCTTCAGATTTATGTATATATTTAAGAGAAAGATAAAAGCTAGTTTTTTGAAGGTATATGGAAAAGTATAATGTGAAACTATTTGAATTGTTGTTTGAGTTATTTCGTATTATTTTTAAATTATTTTTTGTTTGAATATATTCTGGGGATAAAAGGGACAGATAGAAGATTTATTCTTCTTCTGCTACCTTACGTTTTTTGATTTGTGTAATATATTTTCTTTATCTATTGTATATAGTTATTTTGATTTTTAATGAAATGAATAAAGTATCAATCAATTAAACTAATGAAATGTAAGAATAAACTGGTTATTTATCCCTCAAGTTCTTGTGTTAAACTTCCTGGCTTAAAAACAAGTACAAATTTATCTTTAATATTTTCAGGACTGCAACAGTTTTTTTCCTCTCTCTTGAAATGAACAAAAATAAGTTTACAATAAAGTTTAATTGACATCCTYACTAACCAGAGGCAGCTGTTCAACCTCTCCCCTCTGTGTCTCTAACAATCCCAGATTCCAGATGGGATTAACTTCAGATGACCCGAGACAAACGGCTGCAGCCGAGTGTTTCTGCGCGTCTCCTGGTCACGCTGCGAGACGAGGATCTCACACGCTCCACACACAGTTCCTCATCAGCTCCTCTGAGCTCCTGGGCTGCCAGCCTGCTCGTCTGCAGATACAGATTCCTGACACCCCCCCCACCCCCCCATGTGACCTTTGACCTCTCGGGCCTTCTCACAGCTGGGTGTCTCCTCCGGTGTGCTTAAAGTAATAAAGGTTAGAATTTTCTGGGTAAACATTTGCGTCCATTCGATAATGATGGATGTCACGTTGCAGCAGTTGGCAGCAGAATCGCTCCAGAGACATGTTGCAAGTCTGTCTAAAAGTAAATGTTTAGAAATAATCTGATTTTGTAATCTTTCTTATTACGATCTTTTTATTCATTTGATCACCATCCAAGTTATACTGTACCTCTTGTGGAAGTTGTTACACTCCAGTTCTATAGAAATTGGGTTGTTGTGTATATTTTCTTGTCTTTTATTGTGGTCTTGATCAGCAGTTCTTTAAACTTTCTAGTTTCTTTCCACTCTTTGAGCACAGACATGCTAAATTATGCTTTTGTGCTTTTAAAAAAATGGGTAAAGTGGGCAAGTGGAGCACAAAAGCTGCGGCAGATGAACGCTACCTGACCTCAGAACTACAAGATTCCAAGATAARACCAACTTCTTGGAAGCCAAAATTTCTTTTTTTATTTTTCATAAATGAGGGAAGGATGTTTGAAATTTTAAGACTTGTGCTTAAGGTAAACGTCGTGTGAAAATCTAGCATCCGTGGGGATGAGCTGTGTGATTAATGTCAGTGATGATTAGCTGGGTATAAACACTGATACAGGGAGAAACAGCTGCTCTGTGTAAAAATAAAACCGATGCTGAGCGGAGTCGTTTTCAGTCCAAGCTGGGCGTTTTTTGTTCTTGGCAAAAGAGAAAATAAGTTTATAGCAGCAATCCTGACCAGAGTGCACAGGGATGAAGTAACTCCCTCTATAGTTTGCTTATTGAATAAAACCTAAGCATTACTCCTACAGTACATGTCCAGATGACCATGTTGCAGGGGCGCCAGTGAGGGGGGCCCCCCTGATAATAAGCTAGTCTGGTCAGATGAGACCAACATTGAACTGTTTGGATGCCAGAATACACATCATGTTTGGAGGTCAAATG